TTAGCCTGCATTCAGGGTAGGCCTCCCCTCAGTTTGCTGTCTCACATGCCAATTATCTTTGGAAATATATGCACATCCAAAAGTATACTTTCCTAAGTTTATATGTGTTTCAAGTCTAATCTGGTTGACAATCAATTTAATCATCACAGGAAATAAAATAATTCTTTGCTCTGGTATTAAGCAAATGGTCTAAGAAGCTGCCAGTCATGATCCAAATCCAACCTACTGCCTATTTTTATGATATATTTTTACAGGAATATAGTAAGGCTTATTTATCAATGGTTTATAGCTGCTTTCATGCTACGGGGCCAGGTTTACTAGTTCTGACAGAACTATACAGCTAATGGGGCCTAAAACGTTAGCCACCCACCCCTTTATAGAAAGGCCTTCTGACCCCCAGTTCACGCTACAGCAGTTCTCACGTGACAAGACTATAATACGTACATGATGAACATATGTCACAGCAGTCTACTTGGTCTGCTATCACACATAATCAAACTGGTGGCTCAAGCACAATGATTTATTTCTCATAGTTCTGGGAAACACATGTCCCAGGTCAGAATGTCAGCCTGGTTGTTCTGGTGTGGGTCTTCTTCTGCAGTGCAGGCTGGCAACTCCTTGTTGTGTCGTCACAGAACAGAAAGGCTAGAGAACCTCATGGGGTTCCTTTTTTAAAATTTTTATTTTTTAATGTATTTGGTAGAGGGTCTCACTATGCAGCTGGGACTTATAGCGATCCTTCTGTTCTCAGCATTCCCAGTGCTGGAATTACATGTATGCACCACCATTCTGTGTCTCAGGGGCTAGCTCAGTGCACCAGGGGCAAGGCCGCCACAGTAGGTAGTGCCAGGGATGGAACCCTGGTCCCCGCACTTGCCTAAGCAGGCTCTTAGTCCGCTGAGCTATCTTGCCAGGCTCCCCTTTTTTGGTGGTACTGGGGATTGAACGCAGGACCTTACACTTGCCAGGCAGGTGCTTATGCCGCTGAGCTATCTCCCAAAACCCATGGGGTTCCTTTTATAGGAGCACTAAATCCATTTGTGAGAGCTCTGCCCTCATGACCTAATTCTTTACCGAAGGCCTCACCCCTAAATACAATCATGTCAGAGCTTAGGGTTTCAACATTTGAACTATATTCAATGACACTGATCTAGGATAACATAATAGAGCTGCCTACTTTGTCTTAAATATGGTTTGCCCCCTTCAACTCATGTAGGAATTTAATACCGAAAGTCATATGTTACTGGTATTAAGAGGGCAATAATTTAATCTGATTATGGTGTTTAAAGGTCAAGCCCTAGGAAATGTATGTTTTAGATAAGAACATTAGACTGGAGGCCCCATACCTAAATACTCTGGCTTTACAATGTCAAAGAACCCAACATGCATAACTGTGTACGCTGCCTCTTACCATGTGCTGTCTCCAGATGTGTAGTCAGCAAGAAACCTGTCACCAGAACTGAGCTAACGCTATTACGATGCTCTTTCACCTCTGAAACTGTCAGCTAGATAAACCCCTTTTCTTTATAACATGAGCCTGCCTTAGGCATTTCATTACCATAACAGAAAGTTAACCCACTGCACCTGGCTGGAATGTGAAGGCCTCACCAAAAACAAGTCTTATGCTATTAACAGGAGGCCCTTTCTACATATTTAAACAGACATCTAGAAAGCTCTTTACTTCTCTCTAAGCTATAGTTGTTTTTTGTTTTTTGTACCAGGGATCGAACTCAGGACTTTGTGCTTGCCAGGCAGGCACTTAAGCCACTAAGCTATGTCCCCTCACAGAATTTATTAGAGGAATTCCTACTAGCATCTTAGGGTTAGCATGAATCTTCTTGAATGTGTACATGGGTTAGATTGTGGGGAACTGAAGCCACCTTCTAACACACTGCCTGAGCACTGAGAGACCTGGGCGTAGCACAGATCTGATCACGCACGCAGCACTTCACACCAACTGTACACATTCTTGCATGGCACACTCACCACCTTCTACCCTGGCTCTCTCCACAGCTCAACCAAATATTCTTCCTAGGTTTCTCCTCCCCACCGACCTTCTGGGAAAGTTAATATTGTATGAACAGTTAAATATTGTGTGAACTACTCTACCACAATATAAATTAGCATTACATTAAAATAGCTCTGTCTTGGAAAACACTATAATTTTAAAAATAAATTTAAATGCATTAAATGAAATAAAGTACATACCTGAACTGTTAAAGTAGTACTGCTGTCTTGGGTAGCCAGTATTAGAAGAAAAAATACCTAGACATGAAAGAAATAAACATCTCAATGGTAGGAATGTAAGGCTTTAACTGATAATCTTTCAGACAAGTGAGAGGTTCTTTATGACAAGGTCCAGCATCACTTCAAATGATTTCTAAAGAATGTTAAACTCCCTTTTGTTTGAGGGTCAGCTCTACAGGGACCAGGATGGCAGTGTGTATGTGTAATAAAACCCTACTTTATACTCACAGTAGTTTTTTAAAGGTTCCTGTTGATTTAGGAGTCTTTGCCCCTGAAGGTACCAAGCTTGGGCTCTGACACCATGGTGCAAGTAGAGATGCTCTGGCTAGAAAGAGAGCCTTCTCCAAGGGACAGTCATGTTCCCTACCTTCGTGAGGGACTTTTTCTTTTTGTCATGGCTCAATGCAGAGAGGGAGGAGCCAGGGCATACCCTCAGCACCACTGCCAGCTTTCAGGAGGCGTCAGGCAACACCTTCCACATGCTTTGTTATTTTCCAAAAGGTCCCTGTGCCACTCAGCTCATTCCACATATCTCCTCTAGCTTTACCAGAAAGCAGGCAGAGTCTGCAGGCTATTTGCAAATGCCACTGAATATTTAATATTCTACTGTGTTACTCTGAAAAAGGACTGATGTGTTAAAAATGTCTCCATAAAAAAAAAAAAAACAGGTAAGATTATAAGGAAGACAACTATCATATCAGATGTTATAATTGTGGGGAAAATCCTCTTTAAGAAAGAAACTAAGCGCTTGCCTAAATTTTGTATTATGTCTACAGGAAGCTTTTATAACCACTTAATTGCAAGGCACATAGAAAAATGCAACAAAAACAATGAATATCTGAGAACATTTCTTCTCTGTTATCAGTACATTGCTAGATTTCCCTAATTAAATTGTACTGACAATACAATAACATGGAATAATTTCAATAAACGAAACTCCTGCTGCTTCCTCAAATCACACACAAGAAAACACAGCAATGGATAAAAGCAGGGAAGTGGGAATCTGCCTCAGTGCAGCACAGCCTGGAAAGTCATCCTGAAGTGAACACAACCTACTGACAAAGGCGACAGAGCAGTGCCGAGAAAGCTTTCCAATATCATGAATATTATATGGTTCTCAAGAATACCAGTCATCGGCACAAACTGTGAAAGCAAATTATTTATGGTTCAAGAAAAGGTAAAAGAGTCTCCGAAGATTTTCCATGAATAAAAGATGAAATATTGGCGCTCACGTAGTCTATAAAACAAGTGTTTGTGAAATCGTTTCCTTACATGTCAAAATTGGTAGAGCATTTCAAAGTAAAAGATCAAAAAATACATGTACTTCTAAATAAAATATTTTCACTGACCATCAATTTAAAGAAAAAAACAAAGAAAACCGCAGAAGCCATGCTCTGAGTGAAAATATGAATGTCAGTATGAATATACAAGGGGTGATGATCAAAATATGTAAATAAAATTTATTACAGTAAGATACAGTATCATTAATCTTCCCAAAATATTCCCTTTCCCTCTCACACTGTCCCATTGGTCCTGCCACTTCCTCAGTAGTTCTGGAAGTCCCCTGCTGCTGAGTGCCACACACAGAAAGGCGGGCTCATGACATCATTATGATGCATCCTCTTCCACCTTATTCACCAGACCGGAAACAACACAACTTCTGGCTCTTCCCCAAAGTCAAAATGACTAGCTTTAGGGCTGAGGGTATGAATACACACTGATACTTCTTCCTCCAGATCACCTACGAGTTGGGATTTGGGTTTGTGTTTTCTCTTATGGAGCTATGTAGTGGCTGTTATATCTCAGGACAAAAAGGTGAGCATATGAGGGGATTCCTAAGCTGAGCCACAAGACATTTGGAGTTGCTTCTGTCCCCACGAAAATTAAGATGCACTTCTACCTCGTCACGCCAAAGGCATTTCACCGCATACCTGCACATGTCTCCATGATCTTCCTCAGAGGCCCCAGAGTGTACATCAGTCCAACAAGGATCCCGGCCAGATGCCCCGCGAAGGATGTCCTAGGAGGGAAGGAGACCCTTTGTGAGCGCTTGCTCTGCTGCTGATTAGAGACAGTCTGTCTTCTCATTAGCCCGGTACATGTCAATTAGTCACAGTGTGCAGCTTCGTACCCATCACATCTTTTATGCCGAGCAGCATTTAAGCCAGCCCAAAGAACAACATTTCCTACCTTTAACAAAAAAGGACAGTGAATAACAGCCACCACATGTTTAAAATCCAGCACACTTCCTTGACCAAGAGAAATGGGCTGGCCACTCCAGAGGAACAGAAACATTGTTTTCAAGACAACTTATTAGATTCTTTCCAGGTTTTTCTTCAGTTTCTCTTATTACAACACAATATATCAGTGAAATCAGTTCAGAATTAAGTCTGGAACGCACAGCACACGAGACTGCTGCATTTTTATATATTACTGCCTAGTAAAGTAGAAAGCAATCTAAACATGGCAAAAGAGACTGAGATGCCCACCTGTAGTCCCCAACTAGTGTTCATATGTATCTTTCAGTTATTCAGCAAAAAAGAAACTTGCAATTTGCAAGATAAGTTAGGGCATTAAATTGGTTCCATTCTTCTTGAACTAGTATCTAAGACTGACACCACTGATATCATTTATTCTCAAATGTACATTTCTAACGAAGTGGGAACCCCCCACAGGACCTACAGTACCTCCAGCTCGCCTGTGGAAGGAGGAGAATACATGGAATTCATTGGCTGAACATTATCCCAACCCAAGTTTAACAAATTACTAGGGATGCTCATGATAAGCCCTGCATTTTACCACAAAAATGGGTCCTATAGAGCAGTTGTTCGTCAGGTACCTGACTCCATTGCCAGGCGGCTGCCAGCATCCACACACAGAGATGCAGGCCCTTGCATACCTTAAACTGGCCTTTTCTTAGGTCTCACTCCTGGATCAGCTGCCTGATCCAGTCCCCTGTCTAACGCCTTTCACACCCTGCCAGGCTTTCCATTCTTACCCAACACAGCTACACTTCTAGTCCTAGGTTCTTGCCTAAGCTATTTGGAAAAGTGCAGTGCTGGCTACAAGGCAAGCCCTACATAAATATATGCTGAACAAGTAAAAGAATAAATGAAAGAAAATCACTCAGCGGATTTCCTGCTACCTAGCTTGCTCTCTGGTGGACACCAATGTTCAGTTATCCTGGTGAGACAGAGGGCATGCCAGGGCATCCTCCAAGGACCACTGGCTTACACACCAAGTACCTGCCACATACTCAAAGTCTCTCAGTGGTTGGTGTCACCCATTTCTTCCCTCTGACCTCATCACCCATGACATTTGCACACACCCCAAGCATGCAGAGATGACCATGAGACTAAGTTTAACAGTGCCTTCAAAATAAAAAGCATCCCTAGGTGAAGAGTCCTTTCCTTCTACTGTCTTCCCTCCAAGCCACTCCTTCTGCTTCTCCTCTTCAGCCTGTTGGGAAGCTAGGGCTTTTATACATTTGCCAATCTGCATCTCTCTCTCACACAAAAACTCTCCTAGGGAAGTTGTGTCTTAATTCACATATCAAGCAAACTTAGTAGTTAAAAAAAAAAAGTAAAAAGTAAAAAAGCTAAGGAAATGAATAGATTTTTACAGCTTGGGGAAAATAATATCCCTCTCCAGAAGAGGTGCAGGTAAGAATTAGGGGTCTCATGTGAACTCCAAGAACACAGTGACTTCTGTAGTTTTCATACATGTATTCCAAACACCAAGGTAAGTGCATGACACATGATAGACACTCAAACATGCTGAACGAATGATTTAAGTGTGCCGGAACTGCTTCATCAAGACTACCAAGAGGTTAAGTTAGCACCCTTAAAACTTTACCTCGGAGTGCTTGCTGTGATAGGGTAGTTATGGGATGGGGAATCTGACCATTCAGTGACTTACGGATGAAATTCAGAGGCAGAGCCAAATTACTTCACCTACTGCAGCAGCAACTTACAAGGCAAAGAGGCCCTAAGGCACCACGATCTACACAGGTACAAGGCATTTTCATTAGTTTGGGGCTGCAGAAAACCTGCTGGCTCTCAGGGAAGAACAGACCATGAGGGAAGAGCATATGAGATGACCAGAACCTTTGGGAGACACAACTGCTGCTTGTTCTGATCTGCCAATGAAAGGACATCATTGCCCAAACAAGCCACCGAAAAGTGTGCATGTGTGACTGCAGGTACATGTGCGCACGTACGTGCACCCACACCCACACCCATCCACCCCCCCACCACAAGAGCTATTATTTTCATCAGATATATCTACCTGACAATACGTATAACTTGATAAAGTTGTGGGACTAGACTGCTGGTTTCCAATTCTCTAGAATGAAATGAGTTATGTGTTGTTTTTTTTTTAAGGGTCCTCTCCAATATATTATAATTATGTTTTCTGTGTAGACTCAATAAAACCCTCAGCCTCATTCAAGAAATGAAGAACAAAAGCAGTATTTAGAGACATCATGTGGCCAGGATCAACTAAAAAAAAAAAAAAAAAAAAAAAAAAAAAAAAACCACGTAAGTTTAATGTAACCAAAAATATTTTATTAGAAATCAGTATTTTCCAATTTTCTAACCTAGCCTTCATGGTTATATAGATATAAAATAACATAGCAATTTTCAAATTTGAACCCTAACCTATTAGACAATCTTGCATCTCATTTACAATTTAGAGTACAATACAGTAAAAACAAATTTCTCCCTTCTCTAAATGGGTTTCTAGATATTAGAGTTATAATCTATAATTGCCCTAATATAATTGCAAATAACCAGGGAAGGGAGGTTGGCTGGCCAGAGAGTGCACTGAATCATTTTCCAACATTCAGCCTTTTCCATAACAATTCTGCCTTAAAAAAAATTATCTGTTGTCATTACTTAATTTACACTCTACACAGGTATACATTTTTTAAATAAAAATATGAACAGACTATGATCTTATTCAATCAAATGTGAGACTCGCACAACAGTACACACAAAAAGGGTGAGTAATTGCCCAATGAAAAAGGAAACCCAACTCAAAGTACAGCAACTTTCCACAGGCAGGCGGTAACCCTGTGACAAGTCACCTACCTCGCCCTCCAGGACACCCATGTCCTGAGGGAGGACACACACCTGCAGAGGGCGAGAGATGGACGGGAAGGGCAGCTCCTTTGCCCTAGTGCCAGAATACCTTGCCTTGACCCTGTGAGGTCTGTGGCGGCAGAAGCAAGTCCTGGGCTTTTAAAAAGGGAAGATACCATCCGAGCGCACTCTGACCAGTGGCAGGGACCAACCTTCAAACAGCTTGAAAGACCGATTGTGTTAGGACCTTAATTAGACATGTGAAGCAGGCGTTTTGAAGTTTGGGTCTCAAGGTAAGCCTGTGGTTTCACTCCATTCTTAACAGCAAGCAGAAGCTGACACCCTTGTACCTAGTGAAAACCATCCATCACAAACAGAATTTCTGACACGGGCACCCAGCCACGATGGTTAGGCATTCAACTGGAAAGCGTTTTGCATGCACAAATCACAGCAAAAAAGTAGCCGCTTATGCAGACCACTTAAGTGTATTAGTAGATTGGCCAAACACAAAAGCTTTGCCCTGCCATTGCTTTTGTGATGGTAGAACACATTTCTGGGTACTGTGTCCTCCTTGCTACAATCCAACTTTTAATCCTTCTGGTAGTTAATGTCTGAAAATTAAAAAAAAAAAAAAAAAAGTCCTCCTAGTATACACCATTAAAGATCTTTTTTTTTTTATCATCTCATTTCTGATGATAAAGACTGGATCTACTGCTGCTAATAAATGTACTGTTAACTGGATAGTCCCTCTTGTGTAGACAATTTGCCTTTCCCCCCAACTTTTTAAGAGTTTTCTCTTTATTTTGGACATACTGCCATTATACTATAATCATTCTCTTGTAGATTTGTTTTATCCAGCCTGCTTGCAATTTGCAATGTTATTCAATATGAGGTTTCATGTATTCATTGATTTTGAAAACTCAGCCATTCATTTCTGTCCTATGGACCTCTAGATATGCAGTGTGCGTGTGTGTGTGTGTGTGTGTGTGTGTGTGTTTCTACAAAATGTTTTTTAAATAAAAAATGAGGGGCCGGGGAGATGGCTCAGTAGAATAAGTGCTTCCCTGGAAAGCACAAGGGCCTGAGTTCAATCCCCGGTTCCAAAAATACATAAATAAATAAATAAAATTCATTATTTAATAAATGTTAGCCAAATCAATGCTACTTTCCACAATGGATAAAAGAAAATGAAGGCTAAAATGCAATTTTGGAGCAAAACTAAGACTAAGATATTATGGGTTTCAGTTATGTTAACTATGCAGAATCATTAGCAGCACAGACAGCATTCTTTCTTTTCGAGGCCATCCTATAAGAGCTACTTGCGTGGTGGCACTTAGTGGTTATGTGCAATGTTCCTGCCCTCATGTGCCACCTTTAAAGAATCAAAAACCAGAGCTATGATTGAAAGATGTGACAAGCCATAAAGGTCCTCCTCTGTTAAATGGCAAATTCTTTCCACAGCCGAGGAGTTTGTCCTCTCAAGCATGGTTCAAAAAGCAGAAAATGTATTACTGTAAAGCATAATCTTGCCGTGTATGCTGAGCAAATGCCCTCGTTAAGGACGCAACTCGATGGAGACACAGTGTTGGACAAGAGGAAGGAACAGAGGAAGACAAGAGGCCGCCAGCCAGAAGCAGCCTATTACTCCTCCATCATTTCTTTCTGTAAAAGCTGAGAACACCAGTTGGGGACTGAACTGAGCAGAAGCTCTGGGACTTGGGGAGTTGAACAAATGGTCCCAGATTAGCAGTGCAGGAACAAGATGGAGTGAGAACTTTTCAGGTTTTTGAATATTAATGCCATGGGGGAAGATCGTGGTAAGACTGCTTATGCCCAAGATAAACTGTTCTTAAACTTCCTGCATACTGTCCTTGACACCTCTTCAACCACTGTTCCATCCGTGTCTTTGGCAATGGCAATTTGGAGAAGGCTAATCTAC